TGAGAAGAGGTGCCAGGCCCCTGGCTGGTGATAGGAGCAGGATGGGTATGGGGGAGAATCGAAGGGGAGATGGCACAGAAGACTGGAGTTGCCTGAGGCCAGTCTGGCACATGTGCACACACACACACACATTCAAGCACAAACAGAGAGAGGCTGCTCTCCCCTCTCTCTGGCTGAGCCATGGATTCCTCCAGGACAAGGAGCCGGCAGAATCCCTGGGCTCAGCTGATAATGATCCAAAGCTTCTGCCTTTAACTGAAAAACAAAAACAAAAACCCCACTGATAATCCCACTGCTTGCCACAAGAAGGGGAACTCGGAACAGTCATCACCATTTACCCTTTTAGACCTTTCGAATTCTGAACCATGTGTACCTACTGGTGTAACTGGGAAAATGTTAACAATTCTTGACCCCGAAGCCCAGCAGATTCAAGTCACGAGGGCCTGAAGGGAAGAGGCAGCTGCTGAGGTGAGGGGCTGTGTGCTTCTTTCACCCTTCGATCTTGAGGACTGAACATTAGCCTCAGGGGCTATCTTGTATTAATAGAAGCGAAGGGAAAAAAGTCCAGGTAGTTGATGTATTGTTCTATTGAGCAAGATTTTGCTCTGTTACAAAGCACCAACCATTGGTTTTAAACATGGCACCATAACACTCTCTTCCATGGCAAAAAAGGGACAAAGCAGGGAGCAGCTTCCCTTGGGCTGGGGATGGGAACATGAGCCACTTTTCTTCTTGTTGTTAAAAACAGAAAACATTTTCTACTTGTAGGCACCAGGAAAGCTTTTTGGGGACCAAATTTAAGTTTTGTCTATTTCAAATTGTCTTAGTCTGTTATGCGTAGCTATAACAAAATACCCGAGACTGGGAACTGTATAAAAAGAGGTTTCTTTAGCTCACAGTTCTGGAGGTCCAAGAACATGACACTAGGTTCTCTTGGCTACAGGAACCATACAATGTTCACAGCTTCAAAAGGATACCGTCATTTGAATCCAAGGACTTCACAATTAAAGATTGCAAGGCTGGACTGGCTAGAAGACACTGCACAGTGCCTCTAATGATTTTGTCTTTTTCAGTCTGTGATTTGAACTTGCTGACCCTGGATTGTGTCTTCACCAAGGGTCAAAAAGTTTCAAGATTACTATGTCCACCTTTTTTTTTGGTACCGGGAATCAAACTCAGGTCCTTGCACTTGCGCAGCACCAGATTCACCTTTAGCACCCGAAAAATCCCAGTTCTCTTCTAAAATCATAAGCAAACGTTAGCCTTCTGTATTCAAAGCAAACTGCTAAGGCAGAAAGCAAAACAAAAGCAGGAGCCTGGGCTGCTCCAGCCTCTGTTAGGCAGGATGTGAAACGTCAGGCCATTAGTCTTCTATTTTTACTGCAGTGGTTACAAAATGAAGGTTGATGTGGGAAGGAAACACAACACTGACTTTGGAAAAATCCCTCTTCTTTCCAGTCTTAAATATTGACACCTACTTACCAGATTTGAGAACTAGAGAAACCTGCATGGGTTTCTGAAGTGAGCAATTTTTTCCCCCCTGGCTGCCAACTTCTCAGCCATTCACAGATGCAGAAAGTGCTGAGTCAGCAGTGCCAATCAGCACATGCCAGGGGCAGGGTGCAGTTCCTTCTTCCATATGGCCAAAGTGCAGACCTACTCACCATCACTAAGGTGGAAAGCTTGGAGTTCCTCTAAGAATTAATGGTCATGAAATCAGACGAAATTAAGCAGTTGGTTTGCGACAGGCCTCTATAACCTAATGATAAATCATGGGTAGATGGCCTTACATGTCTGCTTACCAGTAGGTCCACCTAGTATGTACATGGATGTTTGGAGGTCCCCCCAAAGTCTCATGTGGTCATAGGCTTGATCTGTATGTGAAGCTGGAATTAATTCATGATGCAATGCTAGGCTCAAAGGCACTAGGATTAAGGGTGTGCGTGTTACCCGCCCTAAGCAGTCTGAATAAAATAAAAGGGTCAGGCAGATGCTGTTAAGGCTCTCTTGTTGCCTTTGCTGCCTTGTGTCATGTTGTTTCTCCTCTGGGATGCCTGTTTACTATCCCAGCCTTGGAGCCAGCTGATTATGGACTGAAACCTCTATGAACTGTAAGCCTAATAAACCTCTTCCCTTTTAACTTTGGGTGTCGAGTATTTTGTCCCAGCAACGAGAGAAAAGTAACTAACACAATGGATCTTTACATTTTCCTGTATGAAAATTCTACATATCCAGGCTGGGGATTTAGCTCAGTGGTTCTGGCGCCTGCCTCACAAGCACAAGGACCCAAGTTCGATCCCCAGTACCAAAAAAAAAAAATTCTACATATACCCTTATAATTTACTCACACATTCAAACCCCAGTAAGGCAGCTAAGAGTGAAAGGGTACAAGTGTTCCCCTTATTAGAGAAAAAAGTAACTCAAATGTCTTCTGATAAACAATAATTCACATATGCTTTGACAGCTGGGAGAAAAATCCCAATACTGTAACTTCCCACAAACACTGAGTAAACATTACAGTAAGCTCTCTAGCCAGAGTGAAACCCATATCTTCATTAGGGAAGCCACTCCGGGAAGACTTCACATTTGCAGACTCGGCCTGCCTGCTATGGTTCAGATATGGCTCATCCCCTAAAGGTTCCTGTGCTGGAGCTTGGTCCATATGGCGCAGTTGAGGTGGTGGGGCCTTGAAAAGACCCAGCCTAGCAGGAGGTAATTGGTCCATAGCAGCTCTCCACCCTCATCAATGCCTTAATGGGTCTCAGTCCCACGAGAGCAGGTTGGTAGGAAGCAAGGCCACCCCGCACACTTTCCCTGTCTTGCTTGAAGCTGTTTCCCTTTCCGCTTCTCCGCCATGTTGGGATGCAGCCACTGGGATCCTCGCCAGGCTGCCAGGGCCGCCCTACCTCCAGAACCATAAGTCAGTAAGATCACTTATAAAGCTCCCAATCTCAAGTATTTTGTTATAGCAGCACAAAACAGACTAAGGCATCAGGCAAAATTTCAAGCAGACCCCTAACTTTGGGAGAGCAGGGGACCAGATGGCAAACTCCAAATGCTAGTGCTCAGATATGGCTTTTTAGCTCCAGGTTCTTCAATCTTCTTCCTGGAATTTCTGGGAGATCATTGTGCTGCTGAGCTCTTCTCTTCCTAAGGAGCAAAACTCACTGAAAAGCTTCATTCATGACGTGTAGCACAAGAACCTCCTTCTCCCTACTCACCTCAACTCAGTATCCAAGTTCCATCAGTGAGACTGAGCCCTGGAAGAGACGGACAAGTGAAATCCCACAAACATATCAGGTCCTACTCAAACTATGACCTTTTATTATATTTTTACAGGTCATTCATCCAGGACTCGCTGTATCTGTGGCTGGCATCATTTCATTGCTGAAATAGAAGATGCCTGTGACGTCCTTGGCCCCTGCCAGACTCAGGTGTGCCTGGCAGAGCTCTCCAGCAGTGTGGCTGGAATGGGAATTTGCTTGGGCCACAGTTATGCTCTTCTCATTTCTGAGCTGCCACACCCCGGCGTGCGGAGGGTCGAGTCTGACATTTAGCATGGCATTCGTTTCTCATTTTATACTTCTGACTGTGGTTTGATTTTTTTTAATAATCTATTTCAAAACAAAAAGGTCGCCCGCTCACTCTAATGTAGTCATTTTGAATATGGGGAATTTGTCACGCACATGCTGTACTTCACAGTGAACAAAGGGAAAGCAGGCTTCAACATCATGACTCAGGGAAACTGGAGAACGGTTCTATTTCTCCTTTGCCTCCCTGGGCAATTTTCCCTGTAATCTGTTCCAGCTCGGAAAACAGGAACTTCCTCTCCTCAGACAGACACAAGTGTGGGCGGAGAGCTCCACTCCAACTGGCTGCTGCAGCTGCGTTGTCCCTCTCTGATCCTGCTGTTCGCCGTGGCTCAAATCATTTTTTTCTGAGTGGGGGAACAGCTGGCACTGAACAGCTGAGGCTCCCTACAAACCCATGCTTCCAGCTGAAAGCAACACAAAAGAGATGCCGAAGGGGCTCAATAAAAGTCTATCACTTACTCTGCTGTCAAAATCTTTGATATTCTGGGAAACTTTTCAGTATCTGTCCCAACTGTTGACAAACCTCCCTTGCCCAAGGATTGTGGCCTCTGATAAAGGTGGGTAAGAAACAGGAAGTCTAAAGCTGTCCAAACAGAACAGGAGCAGTTTGTAAAGTTCATGAAATGATAATGCACCCTAGGCGGCACGCAGGCCAGAGGGAGAAACTGGAGCCTAGTCAGTGTGGGCTCAGGGTCAGGACAGATGTGATGGAGGACGTGGTCCATAGAGTAACAATTTGGCATTTTCCTTTCAAACGTTTAGGAAACATGCCAATGGCGAGACATGAGATGACTTCAATGCCCACAGTCTGACCTGTCAGCAAGGAACCTGCGTGTCCTCAGAAGAGTTCCTTGATTTTCCTTAGAACCAAGGGAGCTGGAAAAAAATAAAACACAGGCAGAGGGAAATCAGCCTAGAACTGGAGCCGAGTGAGCCTCTGAGCCCAACTCAGAGAACTCAGAAGAGAATTCAGAAGAGGCCTTGACATTTTGAAGCAGCATTAAGCTGAGGTAGGAGCTGTTTATTCCTCCTAAGTGCGGCACTGTGGGGCACAGAGGAGTTCTCGGGGCTGAAGGCTGAGGGGACTCGGGCCATGCTGGAGTCTGGTGTCACAAGCGAGCATTACAGCAGTACCAACAGCGACCAGGGAGTGGGGCGAAGGACAGGCTGCACGGCAACCAAGTGTCTGAGGAAGGCAGTGGCATCTGGGAACGCAGGCAGTTACCAGTGAGAACCTGCCAGAATGGGTCAGTCCCTCAGGGTCTAGGGTGCTATACAGCACGGGGTACAGCGCTTGCCTGGCATGTGTGAGGCTCTGGGCTTTCACAGCAAGATCACTCTTAACACTAGGCTGGGGTGACCCTTTTTCTAACAAGTAAATTCTAAGAATTTATATATCAATGTCCATCCAGGTTAAAAAAAGATATTTTATTATAATTTCTTAATTGTAGAAGTCAAGTCTAAATACCATTCTCTCCCTCTCTCTCTCTCTCTCTCTTGATCTCTGGTGCTACCTTCCACACTTCCTCAAAGTCAGGCTGATGACTAATGCCTCAGGGAATTTTCCAGTTCGACGCCATGTGCCAACTTGGAATAAAAGGAACCACTAGTCTTTTGGGTTTTGCCCACAGATCCAAAGTGCTAGGACAGCTAGGTTTGCTGTAGACCGTTTTTGCTGGGTTAGCTAATAGCACTGCGGGCAGAGTTCTGGGAGTGTTACAATGGGAACCTGCATGCCCACTGTCCTGCACGCTCTCTTCTCGTCGCTGTTTTCTTTTCTCTCTCCCTATAAGGGCTGCCTTACACATTACAGTAAGAACTGATCTTCTGGCCAGAATCACACTGGGTAGCAGGTGTTTCGGATGAGTAGTAATTACACATTCAGTTACTGAGTCTACAATTGAGAAACTGGAACTCTGGGGTAATAAAACTTCAATCTCTTCCAAGGTCAGGAAACAAATTACTTGGCTGGCTAGGGAAATGCTTGTTTTTCTTTTCCCCTAAAATCATAATCCAATATGGACCTTTGCTTTATGTTGTATCCAAAGACAAAAGTCAACTTATCTGTTTCGCTCACACAATTCAGAGCACCCCTTCCCGCCTCCCTCAGTGCTGCGACACGAGTCCAGACACTGGAAGCTGTCACATCTGTGGCCAGGTTTACCTGAGCTCAGAGAACAATCACCACAAGGCCCACATGATTATGACCAACTATTTCTTTAAATATGATGCTGCTAAGCTTGGGGCCCGAACTCTGAGAAAGTGAGGACTTGGAGCTGGAACAAGGTGAGAGCCAAGGGTCACAACACTACCAGAATCAGATGACACGAGTGGATGTCGCTACTGAAGCTAGCGGTCTTTTGAGATATCACCATCATCTTCAAAACCCATATGCCTTTTTTTTCCTAATCTGGACATCAGAAACAGGGGAACACTGGCCTGAACTGGCCATCAACACATTCCTCTTAACAGAAGTGAAATATTTTCGGATACGGAAAGCGTTTCAAGACATCTGTTTTCAGGGATAGACCACAGTCACACAGATACTTTCAGAGTTGATTTGTTCCAACGTCTATCTCAAGAGCAAGGGCAGTCAGCTTCCACCAGGCACTGAGACATGATCAGGAAAAAGTATTTCCACTTTCCTAAAGTTATATGTCATCTTCAAGTTCATCATTACACACCCCCCCAACACACACATATATATAATATCTGTCCCTTTCTGTCGGCAGAAAAGGAACATTTTTTAAAAACAAATAATATCTGTGTAGAATGAAGGCAGAATTTTTGTTGTTTTTAAAATTCAGAACAGAGATTAAATCAAAAAGTCTGCAATGGTCTCTATATTTGCATCTTTCAAGTCTTGTTCTTCTTTCACATGAATTCATCTGAATCATTGTCATCCTGTAGGAAACAAAAAAGAGAAACTGAAAAAGCCTTGAAGATAAATAACTTAATACTTTAAATTTACAATTATAATCGTAACTGACAAGCCTGCTTCTCATCCCTCATTCTCAGGGTTCAGAAAGTAGGAAGCAAAAGAACTAAATTTGCTCCTGGTATCCTGTCCATTTTTATTAGTTCTCTGGAACAGGTGGCTTAGCAGGTGCCACTGCACGGCCTGTCACACCAACGAGTTACCCTGGTTCCCAAACGATGACACACAGTCCGTGTGACCCAGCACAGTGCCACAAACGTGCCTAGAAGAAAACATGATTTTTCATAACAGCAGCTACAATTTACTAACAGCAGGAAGCCCATACTTTTTTAAAAAGCTGAATAACTCTGAGATGGTGGATGTTAATCTGCTTTCCTACAGTAACATTTACTATCTATACATACCCTATAACATCACAGTGCATACCGTAAACGGACATAACAAACATGTTTTTTTAAAAAAAGGAATGACTGAACCCTCAACAAATGTAGCAAACACACACTGCCTCAATACTCCTATGCCAACAGCCGGCCTCAATTCCAGTATGGTGCACCTCAAGACTGTCAAGGGCTTTTGTTTGTTTGTTTTGTTTTGCAGTACTGGGGATCGAACCCAGCACCTCGTGCAAACCAGGCAAGCGCTCTACCACTGAGCCACATTGCAGCCCTCAAAGGCATCAGACTTCGCATGATGGCCTTATTTTCTCCCTTCCTTCCCTCCCTTTCCCCTTTCCTTCCTTGAAAAGTCCTTAGGAAGCCAAATATAAGGTAGCTACCAAGTTGGCCAGCCTGACTAAAAGACAACCTTCCGTGATGGGATACAGAGTAAAGGGACCAGTTTTGCTCTGTGGCTTACAACTGAGTCCCAAAGACCAGGCACAGGTGGACCCCAGGCCCCCTTCCTGCCACATTCACTAACAGTTCCCTCGGTGCCCTGGTACACCGCCTTGACAAAGGCCCCATCTCGACACCAGTGTTGTTTGAGATGGGGACAAGAGCTCACACGTGCTCCTCTCTTCCCTGACGGCCTCTGTTAGGGATGGAGGGAAAACTGCCAGAAGGGGGAGAAAACAGTGGCTATTCCAGGAAGTCTGGGTTCGTCTCCAGCTTTGTTCAGTGGCTCTCTCTGTGCTTCTCTTCCATTAGCACAAGGAACTGTGGCCAGGGTGCAGGTGCCTCGGGTAACTGCCAGGAGCAGACAGCTTGAATTCTGTCTGGGCGCCAAGCTGACTGCCCCAGAGTCCTCAACTCAAGTAACAGCATCAGCACTGCCAGAAGTGTCACCACACATCCCCAAGCGTCCTTCCCCAAGCGTCAGCCTGCTGTCCCGGTCGCTCAGGATGAGCAACTCCTTGGCCGGTGACAGTGCCACTGAAAGCGTTACCCCCTACAGAGGCTCTGCGTGGGATCTGCAGAGCTCCTGCTTGTCTGAGGGCCTATGTTCTGGGATCAAAGAAACTTTTAACTTTTAACTGCCTATCTGAGACCTCAGACTACTTGGACAACTTTTCTATTTTAGGTCCCTTTTAACTTTGAGTCAATATGCTTTTCAATTTAACAAATAGGTTTGTTACCCAGTGATAAACTGATAAACCAAAGGAATCTTATAAGCAATTATTTATGATGCCTAATAACAAATTTAGAAAGATTAACAAGAAATTATAGATTGAAGAGATAATCCTAAATAGAAGACTGATAATTCAAAGTTAAAACCAACTTCAGAGTGAAAGCATTCTTCCTGACAAACTTGTATAAACGAACCAATAAAGTCTTATTGTTCATAGACGGCCTTTAAATGAAAATTAACTGACCATGCTGCCAAATTAAAGCACAAAGTCTGTATCCTAACAGGCGATGGTTACAAGAAGAATTTAAGCCTTTTCTTCTAAACTGGGGGTAAAGGGAGATGCAAGAGTCTTTCCACTGAAAGAGAAATAAAAATACCCAATATAAGGAGAGCTTCCAGAAAGGAGCATATCTCATCTTTTGATACTGGTATTGTGTGGGGAAGTAGCAACTTCAGACAAATCATGACTACAATAACTGGAAAGTCTGGAAAGAATTTCAAATATGTGTCCTTGCTTACATTTTAAAACAGCCCCATGAAGTAACGTCTCCACTTTGCTGATGAGGAAAACTACCTGAGAGTCTAATTAGCTTTCTTAGATTTAGTTCCTCACAGAAGTGGGAATAAGGACACTGTTCTTAAACATTTTTGGAAGAATATTAGATCTAAACAATGTCTAAAATCTTATTAATTCCAATTTATGCACTAAGTCTGGGGTTCACTAGATGACCTTTAAGGGAAGCAGAGCTGCTTAACAGAATTTTCTGCAGGAACAGAAAAGTTCTAAGTCTGTACTGATATGGCAGCCTCCAACCACACATAGCTGGTATGACTGAGGAACACAAGTTTTAATGTGATTTTATTTCAATTTAAACAGCACATGCAATTAGTAGCTAGCATATGGTATGACACTGATCTAAAGTATGTACTTTAAAACTATATAATAAAACCTGAAGTCTCCAAAATATATCCACATGGTTTCAATTTTCCACAAGGAGTGTTCAATAACAGTTGAATTATGGTCCCTCTGACATTGAGGCATAATTCTGGGGAATGAAGTCCTCAAGGACATTAAGTCTCTAACTCAGTTCCAATGAAACAGTCAGGCGTGGATGTTAAAAAGATCCCTTCAGCACCAGGCTACAGGTCACCATTTCCCCAGTCCCCAGATGAAAACAGCCAATTTTGTCACTTAAGCTAGTTTGAAATCTCAGGGTCAGTACTTTTACTTCCTTTTTAATTGAAGGTGGTAATTTTATTCTTGCTTAATTACACTATAGAACTGAGTCACATCCATACAGAAGATTAACAAATCTAGGCACTTTTACAGGCCTGAGAATAGAAAAAGGGGGTGAGAGAGTGGATGGGAAAAAGTCCTGTGCTATAAGTCTGGATCCAGAATCCCCCCCACACACACACACAAGCCCCGGGGACTGCAGGCTTAGTTCACAGCCCATGGTACTACTGGTGGAACTTTTAAGAGGCAGGGCCTAGTGGTGCAAGTTATACTGGGGGGGCCAGCCCCTTCCGGTTTTTCTTACTTCCTGGCTGCCAAGAGGTGAGCAGCTTGCTCTGCCACCTGCTCCCACCATGACACACTGCCTCTCCACTGGCCCAAAAGCAGTGAGGCCAAATGACCATGGACTGAAACCTCCAGGTGGTGACTCAAACTAAACTTCACCTTTTTAAAGTTAATTATTTCAGGTATTTTGTTATAGCAATGGAAGCCCAGTACATCCTGTATACTAATGGGCCTGCACTTCACAGCAGACAAGGCATGACAATGTCTTTCCAAAAGTGACCTATTTAAAAACAGATACACAAGAAAGTCTGTAGGGAAGGCGGGGCAAGGCCTAACAGAATCCAGCCTGAGTAGAGCACAACAGTTGGCAAACACAATGACATCACAGCCAATTATTAAATTAAAATTATTAAAAATCCTTAGTGAGGGGCCGGGGATTTAGCTCAGTGGTGCCACTGCCTGCCTTGCAAGTACAAGGTCCTGAGTTCCATCCCCGGTACCAAAAAAAAAAAATGCTTAGTGAATTATTTCAAGGCACAACATACAAGCAAATAACTTGAACACACCTGATTTGAAGACATATTCTCAGCTTTCATTAATGATGAATAGCTCCTAGGAGAAAAGAAAACATTTAAAATAAGGTTATTCAGTCAACGAGCATTTCATGAACATTCACTACCCAGACTGAAGGATCCTTGGGCCAGAATTCCCACCTATATGAAAGCAAAACACAAATTTACCTTTTCTTAGGCTACACGTTTACTCTGAGTTCCACTCATTAATCCAACAGCCTCTATGACATCTTTTTAGCTGTCTCACAGGTGCTTTCAGGTTTCTACATCAAATGCATGGTCTATCCCTTACTAATTTAATTTGATTTCTTTGTGCTGCCGCTCTCTAGCTCAAAGAATGACGCTGTCCATTCCGCTTCAAACCAGAAACCCAGGAGTCCTTTTCAGCCTTCCCTTCAATCCCTGCTATCCTCAGTTCCTATCATTTTACCTATACATGCATCTCTCGTTGGTCCACTTTTCACTGCCATGTCACCACCGCAGTCCCAGCTTCCATCACCTGTGGACATCTGCCAGTCCCTCCTTAGCCACCACACCCATGCTGCTGCCCTTTGCAGTGACCTCCCCCAACTCAAGCCTCATGGTAGCACCCTCCTGCTGGAAACCTTTGGATGGTGTCAAGGCGTTCTTGGTACAAAGACAAACGTGACCAATAAGGCCCTACATGGACCAGCCCTTTGATCCATCCTCCTCTCATACCTCCTGGCCCAGACATTCAGGATTTTGGTCCTAGGCTTTGCCTTGCTGCTTCCCACACCTCATCTTTGCACACAGCTCCCTCTACTTACAGCACGTGCAGGCCTTTTCAAGTAGCTGTAGGAGTTCTGAGCTCAACTTCAAGAATCGCAGCATTAGGGAAGCTGGGCTCGGTTACTGGTTCATCCATGATACACTGACTAATCCCTCTCTCTACATGCAAAGGACTGCCACATATAAAGGGATGCAATGCCGCACAAGTGCTTCTCTGAAGGCGCTTATAATGGACACAGCATTACTGAAGGCAGCAGCAGTGTGTGCGAGGTGAAGAAAAGGAGGGACAGCCAAGCCTTTTCTTCAAAACACTGGGTAATCCTTTTAATCAATGGCCTCACAGTTACCTCTTTTATATGCGGTTACTAAATTTACCCCACAAGTCTACTTCTACCCAATTTTACATAAAACCTGTAAAGGCTCCCTTATCACTTACATGAAATTCTGAACGAAACAAAACCTTTTAAACTACTGTACAATATAATTTTTCATTCTATTTCCCTATATTGTCAACCTTCTCATTCCTTGCCTCAAAGGCAGCATTGTACAGTAAGGATTGCAGAGTTACAGCCTTGAGTTTGGGTTCCTGCTTTATCACTTATCAGCACTAACTGTCCATACATAAATCTCCTTGCTGAAGTGATCTCTGCCTCAAAATCCTCCCCCTCATTCTGCACACACTTATCCTATTGTTCTGGCCACGTTCTGAAGCAGTTCTGGAAGTCCCCTTTCATGAATATCTTTAGTTGTGCTGTCCCAGCTGCCTCCATGTCCAGTATCAATTCAAAACATTTACTTTTCATGGTCATTTTGACTTTGGGGAAGAGCCAGAAGTCATGTAGTGCCAGATCCAGTGAACAAGGTGGGTAAGGACACAACAATGGTTTTATCTGACAGAAATTGCCATAAACATTTTGAATCGATTCAGAATACTGGGGCAGCTCTGACAGCCCAACTAAAGCCCTCAGGAAAAAGGTCTTCCAGAACTGCTTCAGAAAGTGGCAAGAACGGTGAGATAAGTACGTTTGAGGCTAGGGGGAGCATCTGAAGGAAGATTCATGGCAATGTGTTTTTCACTGTAATACATTTTTTGAAGTATACTTTTTAAATCACTTTGTTTAAAAATACGATAAATTAAGAGTTTAGAAAAATAAATAAATAAATAAACTTTAGAGCCTGTTGCTGGAATTTCATCACAAAAGCTGCAGGATACAACATGCAAATTGCAGCTCTGGACATACCAAGCAAACCCTTGATAATATGTCACTGCACCCATTCCCATATGGCAGCCTTGTCATGTTCTTCTATCTTCTACAGCATGTGACAAAAAGCTATCTGTGTGGCAAATATTTAACAGCTATAAACACAGAAATTGCTTTTGGTTTTTCGAGGCCTACAACAACTATTAAAAAATACAAGTGACTAGTGACAGCTTAGAAAACAGGAATGATTGGATAAGCTCCTGAAGCAAAGATTTTACCCAAAAATTTTTCCTCTGGTTCATATGAATATTTTAAATGTTCCTGATACTATGAAAGAAATCCCAGAGATACAGAAAGTCTTTCAGTTGATGGTTTCTTTGACTTAAACGCTTACAACTTTTAAAACTACTAAAATCATACTAAATGCGATACATTTTAGTAATATATATCTGAATTCAAAACACAGAATGTAGTGTTTTTTCAGGTAAACTGTAACATCCATAAATTACTTGATTTATATTGAATAAGTACTACTTTGAAACTGAACTGAATAGAAGGCAGAAGAGTGTAGTAATGTACATGGACTTGAGAATCAGACTGACATAACTGCTTCTTGGATTTAATTTTTCTTCTACAAAATGCAGCAAAAAATCCACTCGATAAATAAGACAGTACAATGAAATACTTTTAGTACAGTACAGTGTCTGACAGATGATAAATGTTCAAAATTTTAGCTATTCTTTATTAATCTGATAAGTAGATAAATGCTATTATGTTTCTAACATCGAACATTCAGGTCTCAAAAAAATTATAGATAGATCTGTAAAGGGTACAAAAAGGCATGTTTTCAATTTTCCCCTACTCTAAACTACAACCGAAAAAGAATGAACTCCTCTAAATCATGCATCACTCAGAATTTACAAACTGCACCACACCGGCGCAGCTGATAATTTTTCTTTTACTTGCACAATCCTAGGCCACAGCGTACATTTAAGTCTATGCTTTAGTCTGCATCTTGTTAGCAGACCGTAACTGAGGATAACGCATCTATGGAAATGAAGTTAATCATCCTGCTTTAGCAGACTCCCCAACAGGAACACACAAATGTGATAACTAATGAAAAAAGCATATGATTGGAATACCTACATTCTGACCCAACAGCCTAAGATTTAAGGGTATTCCAAGGAAACTAGGGCAGGACACAGAAAGACAGCATTTGCAAAGGCAATATATGTTATTTACCTTTATTCTGGCATACTTGTAACAAATGATATCTATGGAAAATCATGGGGAAAACTATGACTAGAAGTCAGAGGAATAATTTCTTTCAGTTAAGAAAAACAAAGGGACTGATCAGAGATCGTGGTATGTATTTACGCAGTCAGTGAAGTGGCTGAATGACGCTCTCCCACTCCACCCCAGAAGGTCCACACTGTTGTCTCTGAACCTCTCCATCTGTTACCTTATGGGGCCAAAAGAGACTTTGTAGGTGCAATTAAATTAAAAGGCTTTAAAAGAGCAAGATTATCCCAGATTATCTGGGTGGGTCCAATCTAGTCCCACTGTTCCTTAAAAGCAGAGACTCTGATTAGACGGGGGCAGAGCCCAAGGCTTTGAGAGAGTACAGGGGCCCATGAGCCATGGACTGTGGGCAGCCTCAGAAGCTGGAAAGGGAGATTCTCTCCGAAACCCCCAGAAAGGAACAGAGCTCCGTAGCACCTTGATTTTAGCCCAGTGAGAGATCTGCTGGACTTCTAATCAACAAGACCGTAAGATAATCAATTTGTTGTTTTAATCAAATAAATGTGTGGCACTTTGTTAGAGAAGCAGTAGAAAACTGGTATCATCTGTATCTCATAGCTTTATCTGCTAGTATTTTAGGAGCCAAACTGGATTTTAATTATTGTTCTAAAATACAGGGCAATGGAGCAGACTTCCATTAATTACTTTACACTTTCAAGATATAGAACAAGAGTTTTAAAAACATCTCTGAGACTTAGTAGTGTTGGCCTCTCAAGCCAAGACGACTGCATTCAAGCTGCACAGCTAGTCAGTATTCAGTGCTTATCACACGGCTGGATGCAGCTCAGTGGCAGCACCTGCTGAGCATGTGCAAGGCCCTGGGTTCTCCCCAGCACCGTGACAAACAAACAAAACCACCATCAAACAACCACTTATTACAGCACCTTTTCCTTTCTGAAGAACTTTTACAAATCCAGCTCTAAAGAAAACCCACCATGGTGTATCTAAAACAATCAGTTGTTTCATTTCACACATTCTCATACCCTGTCTCTATAAAAGGGCAATTTATTTGAGTGGCACATGAATACAAATGCCTTAACTCATTCAGGCACCGAGCTTGCTATAGCTGCCCCCCCCCGCCCCCGCCCCCGCCCCCGTCCATGTACTGATGTCATTCTTGGGGGTTAATTCATGATTCAAATCACCAGGGAACAATCTCAGAGGCCAACTCATTGGCACAGCTCCAACATACCTAAGCTCATCCATTTCCTTCTTCTTCTTCATTTCTTCTTTTTCTCTCCTTTTCATTTCCTGAATTTGGGCTTTTTTCTCATTCCTCTCTTCTCGATCTCTGCCTTCTTTCTCTGCTGCTAGGTCTGGGAACCGTTCCAGTTTGGTCTTTTCTAATCGGTTCAGGATTTCATTCACTTTCTTCTCCACTGTTACAATTTTTACCTTGGAGAGAATAGGGATGGTGAATCTTTATTTTGTTTTTTCTCCCAGGAGAGGGGCAAGGCTTTCCAGGGGTTTAGCAGCCCACTTTAGCTTCCTCAGGAAACATACATCATGCTCAGCCCCCAGCACAGTGGTGTCGGACAGAACAGGTGGGGGTGCGCTCGCACCAGGACTCCATCTCCTGCACAACACTTACATCCTTCTGCCTGTGAAAGCCTATCTGCCCCACGTCCATGTCAGCTGTCTTCTTCAGGTTCGACCATGGTGTGTACACCACATTAATGTTGTTCATCTTGCAGCCTGCCGAGAGAGACTGTCTTCAACACACGGGCAGGAGGAGACTGCACGTCCCCCTTGCCCAGGCAAGGTCATCCAGCCTGGGAAGCCAAGCTTCCCACTGTTCAAAGCACCTGATGCTTTTCAAAAACCACCCACAAAAGGCAAATGGTGAAGCTCACATTAAACAAAACATGGACAACGTATTACGACGAAAAGCAAGGGTCTGTGGATTAGCTTCAGGGAGTGCTAAGAATTTCCTAAAATTGAATCTAAAATGTAAGAGTGTGTGTGTTTTAAAGGACCAAATAAGGTTCCTGTTTTCTTGAAGGAGTCCCTAGATCTGTAAAAGTTAAGCAGCAACACAGTGAGGGGTTCCGGAGATCAGGCCTCTATCCTGGCATATGACAGCAGCTGTGGGCCCTTGGGAAAGACCTCAGGGCTTCCTGAATCTTACTTGAACTATGAAGCAATGGGATTAGTTTAGTAGGATTTTGCTTATTGCTGTTTTTTCAGTAGTAGAATCCTTTTTAGCAAAGAAAGCAGGGCCAAGGATGTAGCTCAGTGGTGCTGTGCCTGCCCGGCAAGCGCAAGGTCCTGAGTTCGATCCCTGGTACCGCAAAAAAAGAAAGTAAAAAGGTCATTGAAGCAGGGCTGCTCTGGAAGAAAGGTGCCAGGAGCCTGCTCACTCCACTCCTCCTCGCCCCTTCTACCTCGTCCACACCTTGCCCTTTACCACCCTCCCAACCCCCAGAGCAGCTCTGAGAAGCACAGGAAGATGGGTTGTCTGATGCTCCCTACCGTCTGTCCATGTTAGATGGGTATAAACTAATGTTTACATCCTGGCATACACCAGGGAAAACTAGCGAGCCCCATCTTACCAAGGATCAAAGGTAACTCCCTAAGGAACAAAATGACATCATGTGCCTCCTAACCGGAAAGGGTGAAGTGTCACTTAAGTACTACTACTGCTCAAAAATGCATACATGATTCTAGTCAAGAAGATGCATCGGCAAAATCCAAATCATGGGCCGCTCTGCAGCTGGTCCACTCTTTCAAAGTCAATATCTTTATAGACAAAGGAAGCATCTACAGATTAGTGGAGACCAAAGAGCTGTGACAGGTAAATCCACTGCACTATCCTGCATCAGAAAAAAAGTGCTACAAAGGCACTAGGACAATCAGCAAAACTTAAATCTGGACAGTGTATCAGGTCACAAGACTCTATTCATGCTAAATTCCTGAATCTGATCATTGCAATACAGTGGATCCTTGACTTATGAGCTCGATTGGTTCCCAAGGGCTGGTTGTAACTCAAGTTGGGTGTAAGTCAATACAGCCGAGATCTGGATGTTTGCCTGGGTACACGGTATAGACAACAAGAGGCAGATGAATCTTCTGTTAACCTAATTAACCCAAGCTGTTTGTATGTCAGGCTGGTCGTAACTTGAGGGTCCAGAGCACAGTTATTTAAGACAAGTCTTGGTTACTTAAGAGACACTGTGGAAGGGTCACAGTGTCTACAATTTCCCTTCAAATGCCTCAGGGAAACGAGTTAGTAATAAGTATGATAATTTTAGACCACAAAGAAATATGAAAAATTTTTTAAATGATGAATCTAAATGAAGGGCATACGTGAACTGTAATTTTTTGCAACTTTCCTGTAGGTTTGAAAGATTTTTTTCAAAACAAAAAAGTTTTTCTAAAACAAATATCCATGTGCAAGGCACTAGGAGGGACGCCAACCTGACCAGGTAGCGGCCCTCCTTTCCAAGACTCTAGAGGAGGAGACAGGTACACAGGGCACTTCCATTAAAAGGAGAAGGCGGCAAGGGCTATCGCAAGATACATGCAAGGCGCTGTGTAGCTCATAGATCGCCGGGACCACTCAGAACTGGGGAGGGGAAGGCGCCCAGGAGAAGCGCTCAGACCCAAGACTGGCATCAGGCGGCTCACTTTAAATCCAGCCTCTACCACACTGCAGAGCCCTGAGTCCTCGGGCAAGTTCCTTCAACCTCTTTAAGTTCAGTCTATAGAACGAAAATAGTAACAATATCTAATTCAATAGGGGTGATAACTAATTTGCAAAGCCAGGCATCCCATCGGTGTCAGCCATTACTACTCCTACTACGATCATGCGGACCTCGGGCTTTAGCCTGGACACGCTCACATGACGACTGAGGGTGACACAACTCGGGGCCGAAGGTTGAACATAAAGGAAGGTAGGGGCCTAGGATTTAGCTCAGTGACGCCACACCTGCCTTGCAAGCGCAAGGTCCTGAGTTCGATCCCCAGTACCGCCAAAACAAAGCAAAGAAATAAATACAAGGAAGGTAAAAAGGTTGGAAAACAGTGAATATTGGTTGTGGATGGAGCGTAAAATACGTGAAGAGAGAGAATCTGTAGTCACATCAGAGATGCTTAATAGATGCCAATTTGAGGCATCTGCCCTGAACTTTACAGGCGAAGGAAGTCAAAGACATTTTCTAGTCTTCTGAAGAGCAGTCTGGCAAGGCTCATCAGGTGCCACAGAACAGACTGAACCAAAAGTGTAATCCCCACACCCTCAGTGCTGGGCAGAGCAAGTGATCAACAGTGAGGAACATTCTGAACTCTAAGTGTCACAAGTGGAGTGTCCTCTGCAACCTCCCGGCAATGCCATCTTCTTCACCCTCAACAGCACCCTCTGCCACTGACTCATGAAAGCAGACCCTGGGTCGTGGCTCCTTACTCTGCAGGCAGCCTGTACTTCGGAAAGCTGAGCAGGAGACAGGAGAGGAGACGGAAGAGCAGTTTGGTCTCCTGGCTCTCCCTCCTCTTTCTGTTTGCTCTAGAACTAGTCCACTACGGAGACATTAAGAAGAAAGGCTGAATGAAGACTAAGGGGTCCGGTGTTGTTCCAACCCCGCCACATCTGTGGGCCAGGGGCATGGAAGGGGCAGGGTGTGTGGAGGAGACTGGACCACAGAACAGACTGCTTCTATTTTTATTCCAGTAACTGAAGATCTTAATTGCAGATCTCAGAAAATCCCATCCTGTTCATAAAATGTGACATCCTAAAACTTGTTACAATTTGATTTAGAGTTGCAAATCAGTGGCTCCGTAAGGCAAGACTCCTACCTTCTTCAGCTAGGTACTCGATTCATGATTAAGCCTGCATGAGTCTGTATCCAAGAAATGCAGGCTGAGTGACGGGAAAGGGGCTCCTGCCCATCTCCCAGTATCACCAACTGCTGGCAGCTGTTAGCGGCTATGTGGCCATCTCATGTGTATTCTCTATCCAAATCGTATTTCTTTACAACCTTCTGTACCATCCTTCAACTTCAGATCAAACCAAAATTACCTCCGCCCTAGCTGGGTCTATGTCCTATGTCTAAAATTCAGTCTATCAGCTCAATCATTCCTGGCAGACCACTGCCTTCAAGCTCCCCTTCATAACTGCCACCCTCACTCAACAATCATCCTTGGCCTTTACTGACTTTAGGTTAAATCTCATATACTAGAAATGAATGAGCATCAGCACGGTAGAAATAAGCACGCACACAGGCCCACTGTCCTCAACCCACACTGCACATCAGAATCTCCTAGAACATGTTTTTACAAAAATAATGATACTCAGGGATTATTCCAGGCAAACTAAATAAGATCTCTGGGGAGGAAGGATGACATGATCAACTGACTTTATAGCTTCACAACTTAAAGGAAGAAAAGAAATAGGAGGAGGAGGAGGAGAAGAGAAAGAAAAAGTAGAAAAAAATATGATTTAGAGACTCTAGTTCCAGAATCGAATGATAAATGATGGAAATAAAAACATAAGCATTGAAAATACAGCTATGAGACGTCTCTCTTACTTAGCTAGCAACATTACCAAATTTCCAAAAGTCTTTCTACATATAACCGTAAGTTCAGGCACACCTAGGTGATTAGATGACCTTCCATTCAAAGTAAGGAAAATAGTAAAAAAAAAAAAAGAGTCCACACTCAGACAGGATATGAGAATCAGAGGGGTGGGGAGATTAGCTTTGAGTTCTCTGGTAGCAGAACTGCCATCCGCTACAGAGATCCGATCTGCCACATCTCTGACGCGAGCCAAGGTCAACAGCACTCTCTAAAATGCAATCTGTTTCCGACATAAACTCAGCGCTGATTCTGAAAACACCTCTAGGAAAACTGACCTTGAATGCTATTGGCCTTCACAAGCTGGGCACAGTCCACCAGCACTTCCTTGGGAATGTCTTCTATCTTCTCTCCCTGAAACACAGAAATAAACCGAAAAGCTCCGTGCCCTTGTGTCCGGTCACCACGGGGCACGGAGAGGACACCTGCAGCCCTGCTGTGTGCAGCAGGCAGCGGCTCTGCAATTCTACCACAGAACAATGAAGACTCAGGTCATTTTTCTGTGCTCCTCATGCAATGTTTATTTAAACTCAGAGAGGCCAAGTATACTGAGTATACCAAGCACTATGCTTAGTACAAAAAGCATTCGCCATAATTGTAATATTAACTGTAGTCATGTCTGAGTAAATCTTGCTCTTTCTTCTCATTCTTATTTCTGGAAACCTGATGGGGAAATGGTGCCTATTTTTGACAACTGGATTTCTTCCTAGCTGAGGCCACCACGACCCCGTTCTCCGAGCGACAACTCGGGGTACTGGGGGTGGAACCTCAGTGGTAATCAGGGCAAGGTTCTCTGTTAGATCTCAGCCACTCACTGTGAGGGAGACGGAACACAAAGATGGCATTGATCCTTTTCTCTACAGAAATCTGTGCTAAAGATGAGTAAATGCAGTGATTCTCAAAGAACGAAAATATCTTGGAGGCAAAAGTGAGTGGAAATCAGTTCAGAACTGGCTCCTATTAGGCACAGGATTACAGAAACACCTGAGAAAGAATTTTCCCCTTAACTATTGAGATAAATTAAGTTTATTCTACTATGTCTCTACAACTTTTTACATTAAAAAAATTTTTGGTGGTGTTAGGAGTGGAACCCAGGGTCTACACATGATAGATAATCAAGCACTCCACTACTGACCTCTGTCCCTCTACCCTGGGCACAACGTTTTACATGTTTTAAATGGAAATCTCTCAAATACATACATTTTGGCCAAGAAAAAAGGGTGGGAATTTGAGCTTATCAGTACTTTAAAAGACATTTCCTAGATCATTTAAATAGAGGACTCTGAATTTAACATCTTAACACAATGTCATCATTACGAACATCCAAGACAGCAAACTGTCTTAGAGTATTATAGCCTACTGTAATACTGTAAGATAGTGATAAAACACAGAAAAAGTGAATGATCCTATACTAACAAAATCAAAATGATTAACAAAAAAAAACCAGCCATCACTTTTTGACTGCCTGCCGTGCGAGGTATAGCAAGCTGCCATACAAAACAGACTGTAGATCCTCACTCTGCCAATGAGAGACTGTGGCTCGGGGCTCGGTGAAGAGAAGGAACTAGGCCGAGGCCCCCATACCTAGTAAGTGACAGAGCTGAGAGATGACCCAGGCTTCATGCCACACTCTCACATGGCGCTGGCCCTTGGTAAGCACGGGGTTCTTGTGGCACGGTACTGTTTCTTGGTCCTGCTGACATCTGTGTCCCAAATTTCTCCTTACCCTCTGCGGCTGTCACTTTTCCTAAAGGACCTCTTCTTCCTGTTTTGCTGCTTTCAATATAATATGAGCAGAACAAAACAAGACACATACAAAACTAAAATTCTGCCCAGCCTGGTGTTTTGCATAAAGTCAGAGGAAGTGCACTCTAAGGGACCCTCAGTACGTAAAGGCCAGGATTCTGATGGTGGGCTTTGTGCCATCTCATGCCGACACGACAGAACAGGAAACCTGTGGGTAGTTAAGATTTTTCTACAGATTCAAAAATAAAACTAGGAAAAAATACTGCTGAATGTCTATAATCTTGAAGGTTTGGGCTGAATTCAACAAAAAACAATTAACACATACATACAGTGGTTAGCACACACCACATATTATTCTAAGTGCTTAAAGATATGCCGGCTTCGCCAGATGTGGTGGCACATGAATGCCTCTAATCCCAGCACCAAGGGAGGCTGAGGCAGGAGGATCACAAGTTGGAGTTCCATCTGAGCAATTCAGTGAACCAGTCTTAAATAAAATAAAACGAAATGAAATGAGTGGAAATGTAGCTCAGTAGCAAAGCATCCCTGGTCCTCACAGCGACCCAGTAAGATAAGGAACTGGCCTCTTCTGCAGAGGAAACAGGCACAGTTTAGTAACATGCTGAAGGGCCTACAGCTAATAAGCAGCACGGCCAGGACTGACATCCAGCAGTCTGGCTGGAACCGCTTTGTCTTGCCGCATCTCCAACACTTACTTGGCATCTACCAAGTACGAGGGCCTCATCTGTTTACTTCACAAATCCAGTAGGTAAAAGTCCTTCACGCAGCACTTTCAACCTGTGCAAATGACAGGCTTCCGAAGGAAACCGCCACTGGGCTTCTACTCCAGCAATTAATACCCGTGCAACGTGAACTCGCCGCGGCCACCGGTATCTCCATCCTGACACTCCAGAACCCCACCGAAAAAGAAATCTCGACCAAAGGCGCCTAGTCACACCCTACTGGATCCTCTCCAAATACAATGGGTACAAAATAGCAATGCGGAAGCTTGCTGCAGCCCAGCGCTCAGGATCCTCTTCTTTTTCTTCACAGTACTGCCCTCAAAAACATCTCCAACACAGCCAAAGATGGGCCATAGCGCTTAACCTTGCGGGTAAACTAAGTTCATCTTCTAGCCATAATGAAGTAGCCCTATGTATTTATGAAAAATAGTTTTTAAGTTTTAAAACAAAAACTTTTGGAAAATTTAGGAGATAGCAAAGAGCATTTCAAACTAGCACAGCACTCTTAAGGGCGATGTGTCAAAAAAGGAGTTCCTAAATTATATACATCTTCTGACCCAGTAATTACTCCACAGCTGGGCACAGTGGCGCACTTCTGTCTGTAGTCCCAGCTACTCAGGTGGCTGAGGCAGGAGGGCCATTTGAGCCCAGGAGTTTGAGGCTACCTGGACAATATTGTGAGACTCCATCTCAAGAAACAAAACATACAAACAAAAAAGAATGTATCTTGTTGGGGATCCATATACTGAAAAACTGTAAGCCTACATTCTGATAAAGGAGCTTTCATTTTTGCTTGTTTGTTTTTCTTTTTTGAGAGGGTCTTGCTGTGCAGTCTAGGCTGGCTTCAAACTCAGGGCAATCCTCTTGAATTGGTCTCCCGAGTGCTGGGATTACAGGTGTGCACCACCACACCCAGCTTGGGAGCTTTTCTATCAATCGTGGCATATTATCAGCTCACTGAAGCCAAACAACATAATACACATGAAAATAATACAGTAACATGAAAACTTTACAAATGTCACCTTAAAAAGTAACAGCATCAATCAGGGGATATCAGGATGGAGGCAGATAGAGACAGAGTCTAGCTGCATTACAACTGTAGGATATCACATCACTGAAAGGGTCAGGGGAAAAAAGCAGCTCATGTGTAACTATGGAAAACAATGCTCTGACTGGAAACCACAAAGCAAAAGGCAAAAGCAACTGCACACCCACCACACTGCCCAGCTGACAGCGGATTCTCGTGGGACATAGGTTAGCAATTCAGAAGCCCCACATATACTAGAGTCAAATAAGTAAATGGAAGGTGGATGGGGGAAGCCAAGGGATGCTGGGAAAAGGCTAGAATGAGCCTTGTACTGGACTAGAGCCAGAGACATCAGCAGGAGCTCCCGTGTAGCTTAAGCGTAATAAAGGCTCACATGAAGAGATGCTGAAACAACGTAGCTATGAGTATATATACATGGGTTAGTGTGCATAAGAAGTGTGATTGAAAAAGAAAGTAATAAGTTTAAATTTTAAAAAACTCTATTACAGTAAAAGACACATTGCCATGGATACCTCTCAAAATCCTCCCCCTCATTGTGCATACACTCACCCTATTGTTCCTGTCACTTTCTGAAGCACTTCTGGAAGACTTCTTTCATAAGTATCTTAGTTGCACTGCTGTGGATGCCTTAGTGTCCTGAATTAATTCAAACCATTGAACTTTCGAGGTCATTTTGACTTTGGGGAAGAGCCAGAAGTTGCACAGTGCCAGATCCAGTGGGCAAGCTGGATGAGGACATTGTGCACTGTTTTGACAGAAATTGTCACAAATAGTTCATCAATGGGATGTGTTCAAAAATGTGCTTTCACTGATGTCACCTGACAGCAGAGTTCACCTTATTTTAGGTCACACCTCTGAAAGACGGTCACAGAAAAGGACTTCAGGAATTGCTTCAGAAAGGGGCAAGAATGATGGGAGAAGAGTGTTCAAAGAAAAGGGGAGGATTTTGAGGGGGGTTAGCGGCAATAGGTCTCTCACTGTAATAAATTTTTAAAAATTTAAACACACCCTATTTTTCGGTCATACCTTATATGTGTAAAGGTTGAGTCATCCCTTATCTAAAATGTGTTTCCATTTTTAAAATTTGGGAATATTTGAATATACATGAGCTATCTTGGGGATGGGACCTAAGTCTAAACACAAAATTTATTCATGTTTCATATACTCCTTACACACATAGCCTGGAGGAGATTTAGACCCTACCTTTAGTGCCCCTGCGTTCTGACTGTGACTTGTGATACGAGGTCAGAGGTGGCATTTTCTACATATGGTGTCTTGTCGGTGGTCAGAACTTTTGGATTTTGGAGCACTTCACATTTTGGGTTTTCAGGATAGGGTGCTCAATCTGTGTTTCCCAGCTCTGTCAGCTGAGAGGGCCTGAAGCAGTGACACTCCAGTAGTAACAGGTACACCTAGAATCCAGCTCTTCATTTCAAAATAGCATTCACCAAGAAAACAAACCAGGGTCCTTGGGGAAGTGGCTGATTCTACAGCTAGGGCAGGGAAAATACAAGATGCACCCAAAGTACTCTGTAGTATCAGGGGGTGAGGATGTGCACAAAAAGCAAAAGAACGGGCAGCAGAGAAACACAGGAGCCGAGCTGCAACAGCACGGGCAACAGAACTCAGTACTGGAATGCAACACAAGGCCTGAAATAAACACAAGTTCACAGCGACGCAATAAGTGACTGAATAAGTAAATGGGCTAGGAGACAAATCTTCCTCTCTTCCTTTGGAAGAACTCCAAGCAATATCTATACATGTTCCCCACTCCAGAGAGGGGGGCTGAATTTCACCAACTGCCGCCTTTGAACAGGGGTGAGACTTAGAGCCCTGCTTCCAAATAACCAAGTCTGGAAAGGGGAAGAAAAGCAACTTCGCAGAGGAGAAACTTGGCCAGATCAGTGATTGCTGACGCATGAATACACACACCCTCTGATCTGACTTTACCTTTGGGGGCTGCTTCTCCCTAAACCCATAATCTTGGTGTTTCATGGGAAAGAATCAGTGATTCTAAATACAGTGACAATCTGTAAAATCACTGATCAAACTGTCCAGGTCAAGAAAGACAGAAAGAGGGGCCGGGGATTTAGCTCAGTGGTTCCGCTGCCTGCCTTGCAAGCAAAAGGTCCTGAGTTCGATCCCCAGTACCCCCCCCAAAAAAAAAGAAAGAAAAACGGGAAGAATGAGAAGCTGTCAAGAGGGCAGACCTGACAACTAAACACAATGCAGTACTCTAGACGGGGTTCTGGGAAAGGACATTAATGGAAAAACAGCTAAAATTCAAATAAAGTCTGGGGTTTAGTTAATAATAATATACCAAGGGCCGGGGATTTAGCTCAGTGGTTCTGCCACCTGCCTCGCAAGTACAAAGTCCCAAGTTCAACCCCTGGTACACAAAAAAAACACAAAAAAACCAAGGTTGGCTTCTTAGTTTTGACAAATCTGCCATGGTAAAAGAGTAACTTAACAATGGAAGAAACTATACGGGAACTCTGTACTGCCTTTGCAACTTTTCTGTAAAACTAAAATTACTCCAAAATAAAAAGTTTATTTTAAAAAATTCAAAAGTAGTGTCTGGGTGTGGTGCTGCATGCTGCCATCACAGAACTTTGGGAGGCTGAGGCAGGAGGACCGCGAACTTGAGCCTAGCATGGGCGACTTAAAGTGACTTAGCAAGGCCCTTTCTCAACTAGAAAAGGGAGGGAGGGAGGATACGCTGGAGGTGTAGCTCAGTGTGAGGGCCCTAGTTTCAATCCCCAGGACTACCAACACACACACACACACACACACACACACACACACACACAAAGATAGATGGATGGTAGATAGATAGATATGGCAAGCACATATACCCTAGGATTCAACTACATAAAATACATGAATAAAGACTGAAAAATAGTGGTACTGTGTTAGAAGGGAGCAGTGAATCTGTTTCCTTTTATTACTACCCTGCTGTTTTAGACTGCCCAATGAACCCCTGATATAGTAACTGGGAACGTCTGCCCTCAGTGAGGCAGAGACTCATAGGAGCCAGAGCAAAAGGAGCCACTGGAGAGGACAGAGAGTCTGCAGTGTCAACTGAATTATGAGGGACAGAAAGCAAAGGAGACAGACAACACACTCGACTGGCAGGACAAGAACCGCTTCTTCTACCTAGGAGACAGGTACTCGTGACCTCCTCAGACTCAGAAATGGCCCAGAATCTTCCATAATGATTTTCTGGTCAGGGAGAGACAGCTCTTCATTTACTAACTTTTAGACTTTTGATTATATTTATTTGAAGTGATTTAATTTCAGCAAAAGTATAGGCTATGCTGCTCATCACTAAAGACAAAGTCATCAATCTGTGTTTAAATGCAGTTACCTTATGCAATCGAAGGTATACATGAGCTGAAGAGATTTTGTCCACATGAAACCTACAAAGAAGGAAAACCATTTTTAGCAAGAGGTACACGACCACCATCCCCTTGGCCCTTTGCATCTGAAGCACCCCATTCCAGAAAGTATGCACCCAGGGCCATTTTCTTGGGGCCTCCCACAGCTGGGGACCATGGGGTGCAGAAAACAGTCACTACCTCCAAAGGGTTTCCCAGCAACCGGAGCTGCAAGATCAACACCGAGAGTTATGCAGCTGTGTGATTAAGTCCCAACCTGAGCAATGCTAAATAGGAAATGCCCTGTGGGGGTGGTTTTTCAAGTGATACAAAGAGCTACCCGGGACCGTAAAGAACTGGGATTTGGTTGGCTCCTTATGGAAGGAAACACCGGACAGAGCAGAAAAACAGGGAAAGGAATCCAGGTGAGAAGAGAAATTCATGAAAGAAGTCAGCAAGACACCAAGGCTGCCCACCTGGGAAGTTTGTAGACCACAAGTGGGAGAAAAGATGGGGGTTTTGCTTGGGACATCCGAGCGCTGAGCAATGGGAAAACAACCAAAGGCCAATGTCAAGTACGGATTTGGAAAAGTTAGCTGAGGCCCGAGGTCACCAAGCAGAACACATCATTACACACATCAGACTAAGAATATATTCAGCCGGGACGTTCCTTGTCTCCTGGGTGGACACGCCCCTTTATGACACAACCCAAAAACCATTCAGTATGCCCCATGTCTTAAATTTACCTTTCATTAGGCTCCATCATCCATCAACTCAATTAAATCTTCTAAAATTGACGGGACATCTTGGAATATTATGTTTTTCACTTTTACAGCTTACCAAATGAAGGCGACTTTCTCTTTTTGCCTCCAGAATCCTCACATTGAACAATGAACAAGGTAACAGAGAGTGAACACTATGATTCTGTTAGTCCTCACTTTGCCAAACTAAGAATACTCAGTAAAACCCAAGGAGGCACCATTACATCCCACTGTGTATCTTGGTAGACATTTTCACAGCATTAATGTGTTTTAGACATGGAAATGGTCACACATTCACTCAGTACAAAAGAGAGACCAGTACGCCTCCATATGAAGGATAAGGCTATGTTGTTTTCAATTCCCTCTTGGAGAGATTAAGTATCTTGCTATTCATTTTGGATATGGAATATCAGGCATTTTCTGTAAACAGTCAATGTTGATTGTAGGTTTTATTTTTAATCCTTACTGATAGCCAGAAATGGGCATTACATCATATCTGATTCATGTTGTTCCAAGTTGGTCATTTACCCATTTGTGTTCCCACACAAGAGATTCATACTTTAGCTGGGCAATGTTCCATCCCGGAAAAATATCTATTTTTTTGCAAAAGTGGAAATTATATACTTCATTATCCTCTTTCAGATTCTTAGGAAGATACCACACTACTAACCAAGCTCAATTTTCTCCTACTCTAACTTTTACTTGCTTTATGCCAGCTTTCTAGCTGCAATTCTTTCCTGTACACCCCTAATAGCTAGGTTATATTCTGCTCTATATTCAAGGTTTCTGATGTGGAATTTTGTCAAATTAAATACTTAAATAATTCAATATTTATCTAATAAATTCAAACATAAGACCTGGGTGCGGTGGCACATGTCCGTAATCGCAGCACTCTGGAAGGCTGAGGCAGGATTGCAAGTCAAGCCCAGCCTGGGTAACCTACTCACTTGAGATCCTGACTCAAAATAAAATCTAAAAAGGGCTGGGGATGCAGCTCAGTGCAAAGGCTACACAGTACAGAAAAACAAAATTCATACAGAAGTAACTAAAGTACCCAAACACAGGAGTATCCTGGGCAATACACACCAGCTTCGGGTTTGTGTGTAGTCCGCACACCTCTCTCCATGAAGGCTAGAAGAACAGAAACAACTATGGGGGTTTGGTTGAAATGACAATAAACAAAACCAAACAAAAAACCTCAGCTCTACAAACAGACCATTTTGAGTAAGTTTCCTTTAAAAAGTCCTTCCTAAATCTCCCAAAATGCCTATTTCCAAGTTTAAATTATTGGCCTGTTTAAATTATTCTCTCCCTCTTGAATCTCCGTTACCCTTTACTGAGAGCAAAGACTAGAAATGTCACTATAAGGGCACTGAATACCTGAGGAAGTAGAGGCACAAGGCCCCAGAGCCTGGTTCTTTAAATCCTCAGAGTAGGGTCTATGAAAATAGTATGCACACCAATTCTATTCCCTCATTTAACAATTAATTTAGCTCTCCCTATACTTAATGCTAAGATGATTCTTTGCTTTAAAGGGTCTCGGGAAGCCAGGCATCCTAGCCTGTACCTCACGCCTGTAATCCCAGAACTTGGGAGGCTGAGGCAGGAAGTTCGCCCTGAGTTTGAGGCCAGCTTGGGCTACACAGTGGGAGGAGAGACCCTGTTTAAAAAAAAAAAAAAAAAAGTGTCTCAGGAGGTTTTCTGGGATAAACCAGGACGCTGATGGTCATAGCGGTAAAGTCCCAAAGGCTGCATTCAAGTAAACCAGGTTAAAAATCTACCCTGGAATGTAGATTAACTGGGAACCATTCCCGGAGCTCCCTGGAAGATCGCCAAGACTGACAGTTCTCCAACCGGAACCAGCCTCGAGAGTCAGGCCTATTCCAGCTCACAGCACTTCTCAAATATCTGAGAATAAAGGAATCACATTGAACCACAGTCACTAATCTCCAGCCTGTAAATGGGTGTTAAAAAGAGTCTCTGCAAGTCTATAAACCCAAATCTGTTAACTACTTTTTGGGTATGGGTTGTAAACGAGAAGTTTCCCTTCCACTTCTTTAAAAGAAAAGGCAGAAAGTTGTGGTGAATTGACTTCCATGGTGCGTCTGACAATGTAACCTGTCCTATGCAAACGTTTATGTCTCAAACCAAGTATGTTTGAAAACGTCCAGCAGGGGGCTCCCTGACAGCCACAGCCATTCTTAGCTCCTTGAGAGAATCTGGACGTCTGTGGGCCTTAGGGACACCTGAAATACTCCAGCTGGGGCTCACAGGAGCTCAGAAGGGAGGTAGGCAGAAAGCAGTCACTGGGAAGAAAGAAACAACCAGGAGGGATCATTCTCAGGAAGGAAGAGCGCTAATCCACTAGGAAGTGACACATACTCACTGAACACAGACTAAGTGCCAGGACCTGTGCTGGGTACTGGGGATGGAGCAGCTAGCCCAGGTAGATCACTGTCCGCAGAGCTCACAGACTAAGCCCTTGGAGGGGAGGGGCACCCGGCGTGCAAACTGCTGCAGTCTCGCTTGATAACACCTCCGAGTCCAGAAGATGGGACACGCTTCTGGGAGGGTCACGAGCCTCATACAGGGCAGGTGGGAGCCAGAGGGGCCGGAGCCCTACACAGGCAGAAGGGCCGGCACAGCCCCATGCAGGGGTGGCTTCAGTGAACCTCAGTGTAGTATTTCCCCCTTAAAGGCTCAATGCTGTGTCCAGCTTACTGAAACGACAATCAGCCCTTCGAAAAAGTGGCTGCCTGTCACTCTAGCTCTTGAGGGAATTAGGATCTGCGTCCATGTTGGAGGAACAGGTCTGGGAAGAGCTGCAGCAGTGGCCTGGGGGGAAGAGAGTGACCTGAAGCCAAGAATGGGTGGCCTGGGGGAAGAGCAGAGCAGTGACTCAAAGGTGGGGCCTGACAGGACAGCGAACAGCTTAGCGTTCAGTTTCTCTTAGCTTCTTGGGTGTGGTGGTGCACGCCTGTAATCCTAGCACTCAGGAGGCTGAGGCAGCAGGATCACCAGGAGTTTGAGGCCAGCCTGGGCTACATGGTGAGTTCAGGGCTAGCCTGAACTACAAAGGGAGACCCTGCCTCAAAAAACAGACAAACAAGCAAACAAAAAACCCACCAAAAACAAATGGGCATAACATCAATACTTATTTCCAGGGTGGGTGAGAAATTAAACGTATGGACAGAGGTAAACACTTGTGTTTGTCATACAGTTAAGTGCATGACATTAAGTGTATTAGTACCATGTCAGAGCAAATAGGATCTGAGTGCTTAACCTCAGGCCAACATCTGGGAGGGGTGGTATGAGTAGAGAGATGATTCCCCACTCACAGGCAGGATTAGGCTCTGGGAGGGAGATTATGAGGGTCAGTGTCAGCAGCAGAAGCCAAGGATGGAAAAAGCAAGCAACTGAGTGAAGAGGATGAGAGACAGGAAGACAGTCACTGGAGCCAGGCCTGCTGCAGACGGCCTGGCTCTGGGCCAATGCAAGGACTCTTTTGTTTGTTTTTTGGACTGGGTTTGATAAACAAAACAAATCATCTTGGAGAGAGGGAGGGAAAGAAGGATGTATTATAATTGTTCAAATGGCTTCCTTAAATCCTTTTAGAAAGGAGGCATGGGGTTGGAGCAAGAGCGGCCTGAGCCTAAGTGTGGTGGCCCCAACGACTCCACAGGAGACCAACAGGCAGTCAGAGGACAGCACTCTGGAAGCCTCTGTTCTCAGGCCTGCAGTCAAACCCAAGACATTATTACCAGCTTGCGTGGTAATTATAAATGAAGGTAACTGGCAGGCGGTATTTACACCTGAACACCCATAAACGAAAGTACACAGTACAAGCTCCAGTTTTAATCACAGGAATCAGGTTGTTGCCAAGTCTAAGAGAGTTAATGATGATCCACAGGAAGCAGAATCAAAATTGTTACTTACCAAATATCTTCAGGCCAGCCGTACTTTATCAGATCTTCATCTACAGCAAGATACAAGAGAACACGGAAAAGTTAAGAAAGACTGTCAAACGAAGATGGAAGATGCACCAGGTCTACAAGCTGGGAAGGGGAGAAGAATCAACCCTTCCCACAACTTTCTCTCCTTCACCGGAGAAGACAGTAGGTTAGAGACGCTTTGAAGCTTGAAAATGTGGAAAAGTAAAGCAACTTTTATAACTGCAGGATATAAACTGTAGAATTTGAATACTCCTAACCCAAAGAGATTCCTGTTTGAAGACAATGAAAATGCCAATAAAAAATCAGAGCAGCTGAGAAGTCAGAGAACACCCCAGAAAACTCACCCACTGCAGTCATACTGAATGCTATAACGGTTCTGGCAAAACTTTGAAATAATGGATTGCATTTTAATGTAAGAAAAAAATAACTGTTATATAAATATAGGAAACTAGGAATAAAACAAATGCCAGAGGAATAAGCAGAAAACAAAAATCTAAAACTCTATCACATATGGAAATAAACACAGAAGAAAGAAGCAAAAGAATGAAGTGTTTTGGGAGGTGAGGAGAGGAACTCCGGTTTGGGAGGACAGGGTAGGGAAGTGACGTTTTTATCCTGAGCAGTAAATTATGGTGTCACTTCTTAAACAATGGTGGATACAGATAAGACTTAAACTGGGTGTGGAGCCTCGTGCTTGGTGCTTGTGCCTGTAACCGCAGCAATCTGGAAGGCTGAGGCAGGAGGACTGCACGCTTGAGCCCAGCATGGGCAACTAAGAATTTAGTAAGACCCTGTCTCTAAACAAAAGGTCAAAAAAGGGCTGGGGATGTAGCTCAGTGTGAAAGTCCCTGGGTTCAGCTCCTAGTATGAGTAAAATAGAATGAAAACTGGAAAACTTCTCTGGAAGCAATGATTACGGAGAGGGCATAGCAGTATAGACTTCTAACAGTCATGTTAATAATCAGGAACAATCATGTTTAATAGAACTATTTAAGTATTAAACACCAATTAAAGAATTCGAAGGTGAACACGATGATTTAAAGGAAGCTGGGAAGAGTGGGAGTAACCTGTACGTGGTGCAGGGGCACTCTCGGGGCCGTGGCCACCCTGAGCCCTCCCTGGCTCTCCACCAGCTTCTGTAGGAACCTGCGCAGCGGCCAACACGGCCAACACATCGGAAGACAAGGAAGGGAAACCAAGCGGCCTCTTTCCCTTTATTTTGTGGCTCACTGGTGACGCCTGCTGGCCAGCAGGGGAACAGACCCGAAAGCCGTTGGGTGAAGTTTAGGACCCGTTTGAACTTCACCTAGGTTCTCTGTGGTCCTCATCCGGAGTGACCCACCGGGCATTAGAAATGAGCGCGATGCACTGGTGCTCCCACCAGAAGGCCTCAGAAGTGCAGCATTCTCTCTTCCGAGGTGACCAGGAGAAGCGGGCACCTCCATGGACTGACTCCAAGGGGTTCTGATCCCATGCAGACGCAGATGGAAAAGCCTGTGACAGGTGTGTAAGGGCTTCCACAGTCTACGCTCCCCCAGTGAAGGCTTCTCAGCTCTCAGCGCCCCTCAGTCGCCTTTCCCTTCTCCAGCCCTCTCCTCCTGCAGCACTGCTATCCCTGTCACTTCATCCTGCCCACTCTGAAAACAGATTTTATTTTCAGAGCAGTTTTGGTTTCATAACAAAACTGACACAGACTTCTTGTCCGTGAGTCCACCTGAAAAGGGAAAGCCCAGCGCAAATCTTCTGCAGACATCTCCACAGGCTGCATACAGCCCAGGTGGAGAGGACCCCAGCAAGTGGTAAACTCACAGAAGGAGAGAGACAGGGTGATGTCACTGTCTGAGGGCAGCACCCGTGTGAAGCAAACAGGGCAGGCCTTTACTGTAAGAAATGGGTAAATCCCTGCCTTCTGGAGTTGCACAGTGCAAAACCTGCCCAGCCGCACCTTGGTTGTGGGTGTTG